GGGCGAAAATTATTTGGCAGCACTGACAATGGCACGGGATCAGTTTTTTTGAAATCGGATTAATAATTTTATAGTGTATATATATTCCGTGGATATGAATTCTACACGTGATAGCTCGAGTGAGTGCTCTGTACATGTACCGTAAAGTCCGCTGCAAATGCCCACTTCGCAGCAAACGCCCAATCCGGCGGGTCCATACTATTTTCGTCTTTTCAGGTCAATATATATGTCAAGTGAGAATTCAAGTCAGCAGGAAAACCGCGAGCTCCCATGTAGGGAGCAATACACTCTTCCTCAGGTCAATCTAGTTGTAGAAAGCTGGCATGGAGGTCGAATGCGTACGAGAACGACTGTAATGCCTACAAACTGCCTATGTCTTACCAGGAGGCTCTGCAAAAGCGCTCGGGTTCATCGGGTGTTAGCGGCCGTCGTGAGTTCCCTTCGGGAACGGATACGATAATTTATTTATTTTTTCTGCAAAAGCGATTGTCATTCTCTTGCTGCAAAGAAAACTTCGTCGAGATTTCCTTTCATTCGAAAAAAACGAGTTGTCTTTGGTATTAGTTCGTTCTCCATATGGTTATGCCATAGAATCCATCTGGTTTGCAAATCACGAAATTTCTGCAGTGCTATGTCGCGCTTCTGACGAAGCGTCAGTCAACAACTTGACCGTTCGCGGTATTGCAGTTGTAAGTTGAACACTTTACAGGGGGGGGGGGGGGGGATGTCACAGAAGCTACTCCTATAAAGTCGCTGCTAACTTGTCGAAAACTCTGAAGTGGTCGAGAAAAACCCTTGCCTTTGCGCGCTGCGTGATTTGGAAATGGCTTGAAACACCGTCAGAGGTGTATTTGGTTCCTGAAAATACTCTGTTTTTCGCTATTTTGCTTTTCGGCAGAATTTGCGAAATAAAACAACCAACATCATCGCTACTAGCTAGCTCGAAGCTAGTACCGAATGGGATTTTGAACCAGGAAAGTGGACATAGTTTACCGTAGCAAAGCGCTCTTCGCGCTACGGTGTGAGAAGTCCTTTCGTACAGTAGGGGTGACCGTGCATGGGGTCAGTGTGGACACGCCAGCAGATCTTGCTAGAATGGGGTGGGCGTTTGCAGCGGATTTTACGGTATACATCTGGGTGTAGGGCATAGTATACTAGTACTTAGGTTTTTGTAGAGGGAGAGATCAATAAAATATTCCTGCAACTATTGATTTTCATTACTTAGCACTAGCCAACCGTGTTATGAGGCTGGCGATCGCCCGTACGTGAATCTCTGAGTTACAGCAATACTGTTTCATTGTTCGTCTTTCGAACTGCAATGACCAACTGCCGCTACCCAGTCGAGATCCAGGTCGGCGAATTTCTGAGTCCCGTGCGATGAGACAAACGTGGGCGACTGGTGGACTTGCCAAGTAAACCAAATTCGACAAGTAATTTTTAGTTGCAGCACTTGTCCGATGCTGCAGAAGTCGAAGTTCTCTAGTCCAATTCAGTAGCCGCGCCTGCAGGGTGACCGAGTTGGAATATCGATGAGTTTTCCTACTCGAGGTGAGCGAAGAGATAGCCCATCCTGCTCTGTCAGTAGAACGCGTTTTTTTCTTCGCTCGAACAGAAGTATGTTTCTCCATACCACACTCAAAAATTCATCAACAATCCAGTCCTCGGTTCGCTGGAGAACACCTTGGCAAAGGTGAGTGTTCGAGAAACAGTGATTCCACTACAATGCAGTTGTAACAAGGGAAAAACTACAATTTTCAAAAGGCGAGTCGATGATATTCATTCCCATTAAAAAAACGTTTTTCTTGCTGCTACGGTTACCTGGTCACCACCTGTGCTGCATACACTGCATGGCACGCGTGAACTGGAGTCTGTTGCAGTGTTTGACCCGCACTGCAAGCTCAACGCCGCGCAGTTCAGTGTATCAGGTGTACCGGCATACGTCACAATGCTTTTCGATGGGACAATGAATGCATGCACGGTAGAAATATTACCTCTCGCCGTCAATAGTGTACTTTTTTCAAGCCGATAAGCCGATAGCAACTAAAATACTCGTTCGATATCTTTTCCAACGAGTAATTACCGAGTATTCGGTATAATCGTTTCAGCCCAAAAGAAGACCCAGCCGAAAAGGTGTGAAACACTTCTTGTCTACTCGTATTTTTTTGAAATGCACTCTCTGTCCGGGACAGCGATTTGGAGGCCACAAGAACATGCTGAATTCACAGTGTGTATGTGTTCATTTTCAACTTTCTCTGCAGACGTGCATCAAACTAGACAGTGGACAAGTGCAACACACTATCGCTATTGCAACCACCCACTGTGGGCAAGTGCAACACACTATTGCTATTGCAACCACTCACTGTGATGCAATGGGCGTCGGCATCCGGCTGAGGATCGGACACAGAGCAGAGTTGCGGACACGCAAGCCCCAGCACATGCGTACTGCGTGGAAGAGACAAGCTGCACTTTTATTACCCTTCACGGAGCGTTCGAAGAGTAAGTCGGATAATAGCTTTGACATACTCTTCTAGTCTTGTAGGCAACATTCAGTTATTCCATGCCCCGTCAAGTGTAGTTGCGATACTTCCAATGTTGTCAATAGTCGGTGTGTTTACTGCTGTTGCGCTCGGTGAAATTCAACATGAAATGCATATTTGGCACCCAGTACCGATGCGGCCCTCGACCATGTTGACGCCATGTTAAGCGGCGCGATGCACAATATCACTTCTGCGACGTGAGGCACCCAGTACCGATGCGGCCCTCGACCATATTGACGCCATGTTAAGCGCGATGCACAATATCACTTCTGCGACGTGATGAGCGACGAGCCATGTGATCAAGAGTTATTTTTCTGCAAAACTTTGCATTGCAGGCTGTCGCAGCTCCGTGAAAGGTTGCATCGCGGGAAATTGAGCCCAGTTCAACTTCGCCGACGAGCGATGCGCGTCACTTTTTCACGGCAGGCACACGTGACACAAGTTCTGCGGCTCGCGTACAGTTTTGGACTGTGCGTGCGCTCCTGGATTTCGCTGCAATGTGCTATGCATTGTGCATCGAAGACTGTTTTACGCGATATGAAAAGACTTTCGCTTGACAATCATCACATCAGAGAAGTTTTCATTTCTTGTTGGCTGAGTTTTACGAAATAAACAAGAAATGTTGTTCTTTTCGAACGAACAGGTCTGGGACCGAGGTCCAACAGTTTTGGGCGTACTGGTACGCCGCAGTCCCTCATCTTTTGTTTTCTTGCTTTGCAAGCTGGTTGCCTTTTTCTGGACTCCCTTGATTTCGTCAGTCGTAGATCTACCTGCCTTTCCGTTATGCCTCCAAGGAAATCCAAGGCCCCCTCGGCAGCGCAGCTGGTACCTCCAAGGAAAAAATCCAAGGCCCCCTCGGCAGCGCAGCTGACCGTGGAGCTCAATGCAATGAGGGAGAAGTTTGAGGCGGAAAAGGAAGAGAGCGCCCTGAGAATCAGGCTCCTCGAGGGACAGCTGGAACGGGGAAATGAGTCGTCCTCGTCCAAGCGTAAACGCCGTAATGTTTCTGTGTCGTCGTCGTCTTCATCTTCTTCGTCATCATCTTCTTCATCGTCCTCGTCATCAGATTCGTCTGACTCGTCGGATGACTCCCGCCGGAAAAGAAAAACCAAAAAATTCAAAAAATCGAAGAAGTCGCGAAGATCCTCCACCTCGATGTCAGCGCGAAAGTGGAAGACAAGGTCTTATGAAGTGCAGCACGGCCTGAATGAGCAGCTGCAACGCCAACTCAAGAAGACCAGGCGGGACCTGCGGAAGCTGAAGGGTGGCCGAAGTCTCTCTAAGAGGCTCAGAAGAGGTGAGTCGTTGCTGTCTGCTAGACAAGAATGGTTGGTGGTGGCGGATGTGCATGGCCACGAGGCGGCCAGCAGGTTTCAAGAGGGGGGTGAGCTGGTCGACATCCTGTCGTCCTCCGAAAAGTCAAAAAAGCTAATCGCTGCGATTCAAAGCACGAAGCAAAGAGCCCCCACTGTTAACGTTAGGCAGCCCTTTCGTGGCAGTGCCCCAGCCACCTCGTCCAGGAGCTGGGGCAATTCCCCAATCCCCTTCACGCCGGGCGTCACAGCAACCCCTGCCCCAGCAGTTCCCCCCAGACCCCCCAGGCCTGTGTGCCACCGCTGCGGCAGCGCTGACCACTTCGTCAGATTCTGCACCCAGACCATCTCTGCCCCCGCTGCTAGAAAATAAGCCTGCTGTTGTTGCACCAATTCATTCCGATGAAGAAAGAGATGTTGATTCTTATTTGATGGAGGCTGATGGTGGGTGGGATGTGCGTGAAGTTGGTGTTCAAGATGTTCAAGTAGGTAGCCTAGCTAAATGTATGCAATTTTGGCGCATGATGGGGGCATCTAGGTTTATTCAAACCATAGTACTGCATGGATACGCACTGCCCTTCATAGAGGTCCCGCGTGCAAGAGAATTTGCAAACCACCGCAGTGCATGCGAGAATGCCGAGTTTGTTTGTGACTCGGTGGAAAGTCTGCTGAACCAGGGTTGCATTCAAGAAGTAAAAAGGGAGGATGTTGTAGTCACCAGTCCGTTAGGCGTTGTGAACAACGGCAAGAAGCTACGACTCATTGTGGACTTGAGGTATGTAAACAAGCATTTGCAAAACTTTAAGTTCAAGCTCGAGGACATGAAGGTCGTGGCAAATGTGTACTCTCAGGGAGATTATTTGGTTACGTTCGATTTGAAGAGTGGGTACCATCATATTGAAATTGCGAAGGCGTATTGGAAGTACTTAGGTTTCTCCTGGGTGGGGAAGGGGGGTGATCGCAGGTGGTTCGTTTTCCGTGTTCTCCCCTTCGGTTTATCCACTGCCCCATACATTTTCACGAAGGTAACCCGTGTCTTACTAAGACACTGGCGGAGGGACGGCATCAGATGCCAGCTTTACATGGATGACGGGTCGGGTGGGCACTCTACAGTTGAGGGTGCACAGGCAGTAGCGAAAAGATTGAAATCAGATCTAGTTCAGGCCGGATTTGTTCCAAACGAAAATAAGTGCCACTGGGAGCCCTCACAGACGGTAGAAATGCTTGGCATGGAAGTCGACATGAGGGAAGGGATCATACGGGTCACTAAGGGACGGGTGGAAAAGCTGAAGACGTTTGTAGAAAAGCTGTCACAGGTCGAATATCCAACTGCCAGACAATTGGCCAGGCTTACGGGGTATTTGCTATCTATGTCGCTGGCATTGGGCCCCGTGTGCAGGTTGAGGACGAGGTCATTTTATGCACTGATTATGAACCGTGAGTCGTGGCATGCAAAACTCAGCTGGTCTCAAATGGCGCTTCAAGATCTGGAGTTTTGGTCTGGCTCGTTTAGTCAATGCCACGGTCAACCTTTTTGGAAAAAAGACCCCAGGGTGACAGTGCTCTCGTGGTCCGACGCGAGCGACTCTGGCTGGGGAGGTTTCTCAGTTACATCAAAAGGAACTGAATTAGCTAAAGGGGAATGGACCAAAGAAATTGTGCAGGCTGGTGCCAGCTCCACATGGCGTGAGCTGCGAGCTATTTTGTTGGTTCTGAGTTCGCTGTCGAAAGAGATTGAAGGTGGCGTTTGCATTCACAGAAGCGATAACCAGGCAGCCGTGCACATAATACAAGTAGGCAGTTCAAAATCTCATTTGCAGAGCGAAGCACTGGAGATTCACAAGCTGTGCGCCGTGCATGGTATTCAGTTGCTGGCAGAATGGGTGCCTCGCGAAGAAAATGAGCTGGCCGATTACCTTTCAAAGCTGTCTGATACGGATGACTGGCAGTTAAATCCCAAATTGTTCGATTGGCTTGATTCGATGTGGGGCCCTCACAGCATTGATTGCTTTGCAAGCAGCAGAACAAAGCAAATGAGTAGATTCTGCTCAAGGTGGTGGAACCCGGGGTGCTCGGGTATTGATGCATTCACTGTGAATTGGAGCGGAGAAAGAGTTTGGCTGGTACCACCAATGTACTTGATAGGGCGTGTGGTAGATATGTTGATCGTGTCAAAATGCCACGGTACTTTGGTTGTTCCAGAATGGCAATCGGCGCCATGGTGGCCAAAGTTGCGTTGCGGCCCAAAGTGGGCAGATTTCGTTAAGGAGGCAATCAGCCTGCCAAAGTCTCATGATACCTTCCTGGAGGGTACTTGTCCATACAATTTCTTTGGGGGCAGTGTGAGTCCTTGTGACGTGTATGCACTACGCATTTGTACAGTGACAAACTGTGTTTGTTAGAAGAGGGATGCTGAAATTCGCCGGCCGCTGGAGTTTTTCTCTGACGGAAAGATGTCTGTTTGTGGAGCATGTGGTGATGAGCGAGAATGCGTGCATGCAGTGTCTGCGAGGTCCTGCTGCAGGATGTCCCCACTGTGGGGAGGTGATTGTGCTCTGAGCACGTAAGCAACTGCCTGGCAGTGGAAAGCTGTGGGTGCGAGTGAATGGCAGGAGTGGTGGAAGATCGCCAGGTATAGCGACGACATCCCCCTGGGGGAAGAAGGAAGCTGACGAGTCGACTGCTCTGACATAGCCAGCTAGGAAGCATTGACAGAAACCATTCTATTCTCTGTTCAGAACCAGCCAAGGACAACCTCTCAGAGGACATGAAGGCGCTGGAACAATGTCTGCCATCCATTATGAATATGAGTCGGGCACCAAGAACTGTGAAGAAGTACGACTCTGCTTTCTGTAGATGGAGCAAATGGGCAGAGCGTCAGAAGGTGCCTCATCTGCCAGCAGACCCATTTCACGTAGCCCTATATCTGGTCTACATCATGCAAGATGCCAAAACTGTCAGCCCATTGGTCTCAGCCGTGTGCGCCTTGTCATGGAAACATGATATCCAGGGATACTCGGACCCATGCTCTAACGGAGTGGTGAAGAATGTGATGCAGGCAGCCAAGCGCTCTCTGGCTCGACCGAAGGATAGAAAATTGCCATTATCAAAACCACTTCTGGAGCGCCTCCATCGGGAACTGTCAAGCTCATCACTGCAAGACCTGCAGACCCTAACCCTCATAGTACTGGGTTATGCCGGTATGATGAGGTGGGATGATTTGGCCAACATCTTCGTGGATGAGGTAGCCATCAAGTCATCACATATGGCGGTCTTCCTGCAAGTTCGCAAGAACGACCAACTGAGGCAAGGTAGCTGGGTGTTCATCAGCCGGTGGGAGAGTGACCTGTGCCCGGTATCGCTAGTGGAGCATCTGATTGAAAAAGGAGGGCACCAAGGTCATGTCAAGCTGTTCGGGCGTATAGCTCGTGTAAAGGGCAGGACCGCCATCAAGCACTCGCTATCCTACAGCAGAGCAAGAGAGTTAGTGCGTGAAGCTCTGAAGCGTATCGGCGTAAACCCAGATGAGTATGGTTTACACAGTTTGAGATCGGGAGGTGCATCCACGGCTGCTGCAGCAGGAGTACCAGATAGGCTCATTCAGCGACAGGGAGGATGGAGAAGTGATGCTATGAAGGCTTACATT